TATATATATATATATATATATATTATGTCTCATGATAGGGAAGTTGACTCAGAGTTCATGCAGCATAAATATCCTGGCCTTTTTGCGATGCTTCGGGCTCAATTTTCGAATGGCCTTATCATTTTTAATCTTCTGCACCACCATGTTTTTCTTCTCATTTTCTTTCCTTCGCTCCATGTTTGCCTTGCGGGCCTCCCGCACTCGCTTCTCCTCGTTGTTGAGATCGTCGCGCAGCTTCTTCGACAACTCACGGAGACGCCTGACATCTTCTTGCTTCTTGAGCTTCTTTTCCACGTTCTGTGGCGCCTTCGTCCATTTCCCTTTGCTTGTGGTGCGTTGCGGCCTCCGTGGCTCCTTTTTAAGCCGTCGCTGCTCCAGCCCACCCATTCTGACGCCCGCGCGTGGTTGCAGTTCCCCACCCTGAACACAAGCAAGAGTAAAATGAAAGAAAGTAAAGCACACGTGCAGAAGAAGAGAAGAAGGGAAGAAGGGGAGGAGGGGAAGGAGGCAGCAGCGGCAGCGCGGCAAGGGACGCCGCACTCCTTTCAAGCGCACTCGATGCATCGCGCCGTTTGGGTGGTGAGGGGGTAAATAGAGAGAAGAGAGCCGCACCCAAGTCGCTCCCAGGGCGTACGAATGGCTAAAGCTGCCATAATAACAAACAAACACACACTCTGCCGTCTCTGACCCTCCTCCCCGCTCTTGTTCGTTCTCCAGCTTTGGGGGGTTCGAGCCAAGCAGCCCTTCAAAAAAAAAAAAGCACGGAACGAGAGAAAGTGACACAAGAACGCGAAAACAAAAAAATCTATATCACGTAAAATAGGCATAGGAAGAATAATAAAAATCAATCGAGAAAAGCAACACAAGCAAAGGTGGATTTCTTAAAAACAAGGCTAAGAAATTAAGCGGCATCCCCACCTAGGCTCTGCGCATGTTAGCCTTAAAAACACGGCGCTCATGCTTGTTTCCAAGCTGCTGCTGCAGGCAGTTTTTATACACGCGCTTGTAAATTGTCTCAATCTCGGGCTCTAGGGAGTCCACAATATCGCAGACCCGCTGAGGCATTGCAATGAGTTTTTGAACGTGTTGCCTCACCGGCTTTCCTTCACACTCGAACACCAAACGAAGAAGGTCAAACAGCTCTACATGAAGGTTCAGCAGCTTTCGTGCACTAGGGAGGTTGCCGCCCATGTTCTCCAGCAACTCTTCAAGCGCCTCATCCACCTGCACTATGTGCTGCGTGAAAAGATAACGAATGGCTTTATATTTGGCAATCGGAAGCGGTTTAAACTCTGAAATATCAACCTGATTCAACTCTGAATGGGCGGCATCAAACTCATCAAGCAGGCGAACGCCATTGCTAACCATGTACTCGTGAAGGAGCTGAATCGTGGCGGGATCCATAAAGTTCTGCAGGTACGCCATATTCTTTTCCACCTCCACGCAACGTGTAATGAAGTCAGGAAAGGGCGGGAAGTTTGCCACAACACTTTCACGGGTATTCGGCGGCACGATACCTAGTGTAGTAAGCACCTGCAGCGTGCATCGCCGTGAGTCACGTCGTTCAATGTGCTTTGGATCCTCCGGAATCCCAAGATGCTTTAGAAAATGTTCCACCCGCTCCTTGTCAAAGTAAACGCGCCAAAGCAAGTGGGGTATCTTTTGTGTCCCTCTGAAGTTATACCAAATAATAATCGGCACACCAATGAGAATGCAGAGGAGACCAAACAACACCATTCCATCGTGTTCGCGTGAGGTGAGGAAGCTTGGAAGTGCAATGCCCACGGAGAACTCGTGGACATTTTTGGCCTCCTCCTCTTCAAATGCCTCGCGGTCTACGAGCGCCTTATACGCGCGACGCACCTGAATGTAGATGCCTCGCGCCTCCTCTGTTTTGTTATGATCCGGGTGGTACCGTTTGGAGAGCGCACGATACGCCTTCTTGATCTCGCTCGTTGTGGCGCTGGAGCCCACCCCAAGGACCGCGTGGGCATCAAAGGTGAGCGTCACGTACATCGCCGAGGAGAAGAGGACCACCCAGAGCCAGAGCACCAGAATCTTCGGCCGGATGGTGAACTTGAGGAACTTTGGCACCACACACCGCAGAAAGAAGACCTTCTCCTCCCAGCAGACGCGTGCGCCGGCCAGCAGCATGTCGGGGTTCGCCGCCAGCAGGGACACAACCCGCGGAAGGTACGTCAGCGTGTCCCACATTCCCTCGAATGGACTTGTCATACCGGCCCGCTTTTTCTTTGGGGCGGTGTAGTAATCAACGGCGCCCCGCACGTGGCGCACCAGCCACGGAATGTAGAGGATGATCATCACCACCGAGACAATGGCGAATGCAAAGGAGATGAAGCCTTCATCGCTCCCGCCAATACCGCCCCCATCTGCCATCCTTTTCTGCTTGTATATAATATATATATATATATATTCTCCCCTTTGTTTCAGCACCTTATTTGTGTGGATCGAGATTCGATCTTCTATTTTCCTTTTTTTAGTTGTTATTTTTTCTTTTACGTGCGTTTATTCGCTTTATTAGTTCCGCGCCTTTTTACTCCTTTTTCAATATATATATATTCTCTCCCTCTCTGCCCCTGCCTCTATCTCTCTCTCTCTGTGTGTGTGCTTGTGTTCTTGGAGACAAAACCAACCACAAGTCAAAGCCGCGATGCGTGAACAGAACCGACGAAAAACAAATAAAACGTGAGGGCTCTTCCACGTGCGCAGAGACACATCTCACTCACTCTCTCGTTGCATGTGCCCACGGAGCGGGCGGACGCGACGGCCCTTCGCGTTGCTCGCTCTCTGTGCGCCCAGCCCGGGCAAGCCACCGGCCCAGAGGGAGAAAAAAAGGGGGAAAAAAACTCCCCACGCTCGCAGGTTCGCGGGCCGCGACGACAAGACGAATGCAGCGCACATCACGCGCTTGGACCCTTGAGTAACATCACCTTCAGCAACCACAGAAACGCAATAAACGCCAACGCAAGAAGAAGATGCCCCGCACGCACCTCAAAGGGCCTATTGTTGCCTAACCCTCCGTCACGGATGGCGTCACGAGTGACTATCACTTCAACGGCGTCGCTGAGCTCTCGCAATGTCTTTGGGGCCGCGGAGCTCATCGCCACGGCACCCAACACGATGGCAGTTTACGAGGCTGTGGAGGTGGCCGGAGAATTGCGTACCAAATAAAGAAAGGAAAAAAAAACACGTGCCGCCATTTCAAGTAGGCACGGAGGCACGATGAAAACAAGCGGGCGTTAAAGAAACACTGAGACAAAGAAAGCACGCACACAGTAAAAAAAAAAAACTACTCTTCACTTACAAAATGAGGTTCATATTCTGGATTTCAGTGCGCCTGTGTGTTTAGGCCAGATGCACGACGTGACGCAACGACCCACATTTTTTTCCCCCCTTAAGCTTGAAAACAACAAACGGTTAACTCCAATTACGTTGACTCATCTGTGCTCTCTTCATCACTCTCGTAGCTGTCAAATTCATCGTCTTTGTCCGTGAGATATGGATGCAGAAGTAGTTCCGCAATGGTGGGGCGGCCTCCAGCCTCCTCCTGGAGGCACTGCACGACAAAGCTAACAGCGGAAGGACGCAACGACGTGACATCAGGAGAGAGGACATCCACCTCCAACAAATCTTCCGTTTCGAACTTTTTTCCCGCCGGCGCCAAGAGCTGCAAAAAGACAGCTCCAAGGGCCCAGATGTCAGCGCTGTAATTAAACACGGAACTCCGCCTAATTTCCGGGGCGCAGCAGCGCCAGACGCCTTGTCCCACGTCACTAGAGGGCACAAACAAATCTATGGGAAGCACATGCTGCGCTAGTAGGATCGTTCCGGATGGCTGATGCCTGAAAAGCGCCTCCAGTCGCAGGTGCCCATGCACCAATTGACGGCTATGGAGCGCATACAACGCCCGCACAATTCCACGCACCACCCAACGTGCTTCCTCCTCCTTCATCGGATGTTGTAACGGCTCCAGGACACCTTCCCCAGCCGGAGGTTCCGCCTTGATTATGAAATAGCGCGGCGAAATCCGTATGTCCTTGTATTCGACCAATAAAGGAGATGAGGGCCATTGCGTTAGTTGGTGAATTCTGCGTCGAACAGCCTCAACCTTGTCGACAAAAATGGCATATTTTTCTATTTTGATGTCTGGCATGCACTGAGCCTACCAACAGCGAAGCAAGAACGACAAGAACAACAAAACCAAAAAGGAGCCATGCACATGTTCCAGCTGTGTAGTGAGACGGCAAAAGGGCACTTGCACAGCGGCCCCTCCTTCACACGCGTCCCCGTTTATTTTATATATAAATATAAATATCAATGAAGAATGGAAAGTAGACACGACTCTTTCATTATTCCCATATGGATGAAAGAGGACGTCTCCTCTCCCACTTCCGCTGTTTTTTTTTGTGTTTTATTTGCCTCCACCGCGGCTAGTGTTTCCCTTTGCCGCCGCTCCGGCCAGCATCGGCAACCTCAGGAATAAAATCTTCCTCGCGAAACTCCGTCTGTGTTGCCTTCCATCCACCGGCCGCAAAGTTGGCCCCCTTCCGCGACGGCGCGGTCGCCGGCTGCACTGCCCCCGCAGGAGCAGACGAGGAGGGCCAGCCACCCACCGGACGCGGGGGACCCTCTCGCATAGGCGGGTTCATGCCCCCGGCGTAGCCGGCAGTATTGCAACGATTTTGACGACGGTTTGGCGGCGTTGCCGCCACTTCCTTCAGTAAACCGGCATTATCCTCGGACTCCGGGTTAAACAGATGTGTTAGATACGGAAACTGCACGCTCATGCGTATATGAAGGTCATCAGGCCTTTCAACCAACTTTGTAGGCCCCAACTGTGGCTGCGGGGATGGAAAGTTAAACCACGTGCGAAATTTCGTGGAGCGTAAGAGCAGCGGTTGAAACAACCCAACTAAACTCATACCAAGAAAATAGAGAGCTACTCCCGCGCGAATGTGCGCCAGTGCAGGGAGAACGCAAAGACAACCGAGACGGGCCCCCCAAACAAGGTTAGACATCCATCCCGTCTTAAGGTCTTTGCTGATCGACAGCTCAAAGTTCATTAGCGTCAGCCCACAGAATGCCAGCGGAAGTAAAACATAGGGATCCGGCATGGTGAGTGCTGGGCACCATAAAAAGGAGGAAGTACCGATGTCAAGTCGTGGATTTTCACACATGCTGGTTGTTTGGACGAGGCCAAAGAGCACCAATGGCGTTCCAAGCAGCGACGACAAACACTGCAGATTCGACGTTTTTTCCTCCAAAAAGACACGCCGGCGCTCTCCCTTGAGCGCCGTGGCGGCGAGCTGAATGTCCAGCGCCGCCGCTCCTTCGCGATAGTACACGCGCTGAAACGCCTCATGTGGAGCCTTCAGCCTCCACATGGCATTCCGCATCCGCTCCGACGCACGCTCCCCGTAGAGGGAAAAGTACAGCGTACAGAGCCGGCTAAGAGCCCCAAACAATAGAATGGCGATCGCCGGATCAAGCCCCAACGCCTCTTGACAGCTGACAAAGAAATCCGCAAACGGCGAGGCATCTGGCAGCGGCGGCAAACTCTCCGTTGCCCCGAACCACTGGCGGTTCCAGGCGCGATCCAGGTACTCGATGTACGTTTGAGGCCCGTTCCCACCGCCAGCGCCGTCGGACCCTCCTGCGACGGAGACGCCGCGTCGGCTCGTCACGAGAAACGGGCACGCCATTGCCCCGCGCCAGGGAATCCGTCGCCCCAAACGCTGCATGCTAACCCTGTGTGTGCGTGCGGAGAAGCGGGACGAAAAATAACAGTGATGCAAACCTCCAAAGACAGAAAAAGATAAAAAAAACACGCACAACCAAAACAAAAACACAATCCGCATTCCCCAGCGTTGTCCAGGCAATTTATTCGCTATTCTGGGGCAACTCTCGAGGAGGTGGGCACGCGTGCGAGTAGGAGTCTTCCTTCCGTTCTACTTCTTCCTCTCTTGCGCCAGCGAGGCACACCCAGTGAGAAGGGAGGGAGGGGGACACTCGCAGAAGAATACAGCACACCGAACAACAAAAAAAAAACCACGGCGCAGCAACCAAACCGAGAAGCAAAACACGCCACACAACCACCTCTTAACTAGACAATAGCAGAACAGGACGCAGGTGACCGTCGAGTCTTCTCTGCAAGGAAGCTGTCTTTAATTTGAGAAGCCCCATCTCCAACCCGGTGCCCAGCATACAAAGTATCGCCGAACCTCCCACAGACATGGCACAGAGCTTCTTTCCACCAAAGTCCACCAGTACTTGCTCCAGCGCTTCCGCTTCTACCGCATTTGTGAGTTTGTTTTTTGCTAGGTCGTTACGGGCACAGGCACGCCATATGTTTCCCGTTGCGGCGACAATCATTGAGTGCTCCTTCTGACAGACGTATTCCGGGTTCAGCGATGCCGAGGAAAGCAGGACGCCGTTTTCATCAAGCAGAATGACGACCTCAACGCCGTTGCCCAAAGCATTCTTCATGGAACTGTTAATAAAAGCCGCGTCGAGCATGCGTCCCCCTTCTGTTTTCCTCAGAACACCCTAGTTCCATTTTAATTTTTATTTTTGGTTATTTGTACCATGCGCCAATCGAGCACAAAGAGAAAGAAACAACAACAACAAAAACAAACCGTGCCATAATGGAGAGGGATATATAGAGACAAAGGGGGGATACTCCCTGATTGGAACGAAGTTTTTTTTTTTTGTTGTTTTGTCATCGGGCGTATGACTGGCAGGGACACGGACGAGAATGACAACAATAACAAAGATGGCTGTGGAGGGGGCACTGTGGCCCCTACTCGCTGCCCAAAGAGTTGCTGGGCACAACTTCGGGAGACGACCACACCCTTTTCGCACTAGAGAGCTCTCAACTAACCTGGAAGGCTCCGCAAAACAAACACACACCCCCGTACGCACGCGCAGGGAGGAGAGAGAGACAGAGAGAGAGAGAGGGAGGAGGAGAGAGGATGGTGACTAGGTTTGACTGCGTTGCTCACCATGCTTTGGGCAGCGAAGCTCAAAGGTCTTCTCATTCAGCACGGCCCCAGCGACTACGGCACACCCCAGATGATAGCTCCGCTGACACCGACCATTTACGCAGCCAATGGGCGCACCAGGTTGTCTACAATAGACACATTTAATGTTTTGACATCGCTTTAACACGGCCCCAATATTTTTTAATGTTGCTTCTTTCGTTTCATAGTAAACTTCTGGGCACCAGAAGGCACATCCCAAGTGGACGTGGTGGCCTTCGTGACACTCGATGACCCCAGTGGACTTGTGGCAAAACACACAGGTGGCGGGGGGAGCTGCATCCTTCTCTACGCAGTATCGCACGGAGCGCGCGGCTCCCATGACATCCTCGGCGTCTCGCTCAGTTCGCTTGAGTGACAAGAGAGAAGCCTCCGGGCTCAAAGAGAATGGGGAGCCCCCGAGCACCTCTGGGTCCTTATGCGTGGGAACGCAACAACTCAGAGGAGAAACCGGCGAAAGGTCACACGCAAGGTGGCGCCTACCGCCCAACGACAAGATCGGCTGCGCCGGCGACGCAACGGCGTGCGTGCATGCCGCGGGGAGCGAAGATTCATCATCGTACTCGTCATCTCTTTTCGCCTCCTCAAGAGGAACGCCACACGCATCACTCGGCTCATCCAAAGGGTAGCTTGAGGCAGCTTGAGTGAGAAGCAAGGAGGATTCCGAGTCCGGTGTCACCATTCCTACGCCTAGTGAGTCGTTCACATCCTCCAGGGCGCAAGAAAGGCTCGCTTTCTCCCAACAGGGCGGGGAAGTGAGGAGGGTCAAGTCCGTCGAGGCCGGGCTCGCCACGGGGGCGCGCAGAGTGGCGTCGCGACGACGTGGGACATGCAGGATTGTCACGGGGCCAAACGTCACGTGCTTCAGCTTTCTTTTTAGGGAGCCGCCTGCCGGTTTCACCACCATAGCAAACCGTCCAGCCCCTTTGTTGTGTTTCTTCTTCGCCTGCTTCCACTGGACCCGCTCAGGCAAAGAAGGGAAAATAGCAACAACAACGCGGAGATGCATCCACCGGTGGGTGGGCGATGAATAACATACGCACACATTTCCTTCTCTCCCGCAGAGCCTTTTTTCACCGTCCCGCATGTGCGAACCTCGGCCACACACGCCCACGCGCGGCGACCAACGGACGAGAGGGAGTGAGAAAGTACAAGACACCAAAAAAAAAAACGACGGTGACAGAACCTCGTCAGTTCTTAAAAAACACCACTGGCTCCTCCAAAGTTGCCACCCACTTAAACGGCAGATCATGCGCAAAGTCCTGCGGCAAGTACCGGGACGGCGACGGCAGATTTCTGTCAAGAAGATCAAAGGTTGCCAAAAAGGAAGCGACCAAGGACCCGTTAAAGAGGCGAAACGGCGCCACGGGCTTCTGAAAAGTGGCCAAATGTTGCTGCATAACTTCCATATCTCGTAGTTTCTCCACCTGCCCCTTGACAGCAAGCGATGAGGCACGATTTGCCACCATCTCATGTATTTTGCGCCTCTGCCGCCACATCTGCACTGAAAACTCGTAATACTTGTTTTCCTGCCCATTCCGCATGCTCGCAGAAAAGAGATACCATGGATGCGGCGTCAACTTCTGCGCCTCCGCCGCAAAGAGAGCGGCAACCGATGAACTTGGCATGTGCCCAACGTGCGGATCGTCCACAGTAAGTTTTCGAACGGCCATGCCACGCGGCAGCCGTGACTCTATAAACTTGTCCATGCTCAACACCTTCGCCCCCTCAAAATCACAGAAGCAAATGTGAGGCACCCCATCCTTTACCCAAATAACACCCACATCGTCCCAGGTGGCCTTCAGCAGGACCTTCGACAGGAGGCTGTACAGCACGTGACCCCAGCTAGGCAGCGTGTACCATCGGTTGCAGATGGCAATCACATCCCCGGTTTTGAATTCGCCCGGTGAGACTTCCGTCACCTGCCACGTTGCGCGGTAGTACAGGTCCCTTCCCTCCGCCACGATGATAATTGACAGGGGAATCGCCTGGCATATCGCCTTGAGGTGAATTCGTAGCTTCTGGCGCCATGCTAGGCGCGGGCCGATGCCTGCCATAACGCACACCGCTATGACTGTCCCAAAACTCGGTAGCGCTAACACCGGCGACAGGAAGCACAGAAACAGAAGAGGCAAAACCAACAACAAGAATCATCCGGGAGCCACATGAAGAACCATTACGGAAAAAAAAGCCAAAAAAAAATAAAAACAAAAAAAGGACAAAAAAAAGAAATAACAAGGAAGCAACTCCCATTTCCCCCAGCTTTATTTTTTTTGTCTGGTTTTCAAGTTTTACTTCTACATATCCCGCAGTTGGATCGCACTCTGCTGCTGAAGGTGTGGCATGGGAGCGGAGGAAAATTATGGGGGCGACGGTGACGGTGTGCGCGGCACAACAAGTTGGTTTGATTACACACTTTTTTTCTCCGATATCACTTTCCCCGCCGCCAGTAGAGCGGCTAGGGAAGACAAACGTACAAAATTAAAGACTAACGGTAATGACGGAGGGCGGAATAATATGATGGAACGATAAAGAAAGAGGGAGAAGCAACAGCAAGTCCTTTTTCGGTTATTTACTATTTTTTCTGCCTTACCTTTCCTTTGCCTTTGGTGGACACACGCCCCCTCCTACGCTTCACAGGCCTGGGGTTCGTGGTCCACATGCGCCTCACAGTTGCTGCAGTGTGGCGGCGGCGCGGAGGGAGTTGTTCTCCATGGCAAGCTGCTCCAACTCGTTTGCCATCCGCTCGACGAGCGCGTCAAGAGTTTGACACTCCGCCTTGTAGCGACTACGATCCTCTTCAAATTGGGCGATGATGTGCTTCCGCTCATCTTGATGGCGCGCCGATGCATCTGCCAAACGGCGCTCTAACGTATTCAGCTCCGTCGTTAAACTTGCAACGGTGTTTTCCAGTCGCCGTACCTGCTCACTGCCCTCATTCGCAGGGGCATTCGGAGAGCTTGATAGCGCTCTCTGCTGCACCTCAAACAGCTCGCGCCTAAGCGCGTCATTGGCCAGCTGCAGACTGGCTATCTGGTGATCCTTGTGCTTGGCACGCTCCTCGTACTCCTGCTTCTCTGTGAGAAGGATGGTGTTCCGCGCCCTGAGGTCGGCCATCTGCGATTCTGCTGCAACACGCGCCGCAGCGTTCCCGGACACAACCCGATCCAGCTCCGCCCTCAACTGCTGCACTTCCTCCTCCGCGTACGAGCGGCTTCGACTAACTTGATCGCGCCTCAATTCCTTAACCTCGCGCTGTAGCATCTCCTTCTCCTGGTGCAACTGCTCCATGTCCTTCTCAAGTGTCTCCATACGTCCTCGGACGTTTTTGGAGTCGGCCTGCTCCGTTGAAAGCCAATGACGCGCGTCAAACAACTGCTTTTCCATCGCTTCCATCTCGTCTTGAAGGACGCGATTGACGCCCGGAGGATTGCCGCCTTGCGATAACACCTGCTCCCGCAGAGCATCCCGCTCCTGCTCCACGCGGCGCAACTTCGCCTGGAGCTCCCCCTTGTTGGGGTACCCATTCTTGATGGCCCCCACAGTGCGGCTTTTCTCGTCTACGAGTGGGTCGGGGCGGTTGCCACGTAGAAGGCATTGGACCCGCTCCCTCAAGTCATTCAGCAGCGCTGAGAGCTCGTCTTTGTTCTCCAAAAGAAGACCGCTGAGGACAATGGCGTCCTCGACGCTGACAGACTCCTCGGTCACGGTGCGCATGAAGACCTCACGTGTCGCGCGATTCCGCGTCTCGGAGGGAAGCTCCCGCACCGCGGCGATGAGCTTTTTCGTTCGCGAGCTCAAGCTTTCCTCTGCGATCTTTTCGAGCGTCTGGCTGATGACCTCTCGGCTCGCGAGGGGCTCGTGTGGCACAACGCGCGAGAGCTCCAGGAAGGCCGGCAGGAGGATGTTGCCCTCAACCACCTTCAGGTAGCCCAGGAGGTCCTGAAGCATGACCTCCAGCTGGCTGACGAGGTAGCGGGCGGCCTCCGCGCGGCGGACGGCCTTTTCTTTGCCGTCCTCCGCGTACACCACCTCATCAATGAGCTCCGCGAGGTGCAGCTCCCGCCTCTTGAGATCGCTGTCGAGTTTTTCAATCTTGCGGCAGAGCACGTTTGCCTCCACCCCATCCGCTGCCGGGGCAGGGGACAGCATCGTCTTCCCTCCGTCGTGCTGCAGACACGCGCCAAGGCAACGACAATAATAAAGAAGAAAGGAGGGAAAAAAAAAACGGCAGCGATCCTCGACATTTCCCAAGACGACCCTCCCAGCAGAGCAACTGTCAGCAGATAGTGTGGTGCACCACCCACCACACGAGGAGGGGAAAGAAGGGCGAGGACGCAAGAAGAAAAATTAGAACATTTTTCAAAAACCTCCGTTCACGGGAGACGTCAGAGAAGCAGGAGCGCAGAAGCAGAGCTGAAGCTTCGGGTAGTTGGGTCGTTAGTATGTGATCAGTTTTGCCCCAGCCTTCACCAGATCCCCAGCCTTGACGGTGACCAAGCTCTCCCGCGGCACATCTACCACAAGGGCAACAGCGGAGCCCCAGTAAAACGTTGCAAGCGGGTCCCCCTTACGAAGCAACGGATCGCTGCTGTATCGCCGGTGAACGGCATACTCTGGTGGGCTTAAGAAATTAGTTTTAATACGACCGTCAAAGTGGAGTGCGATGCGGCCTGTCAGTGTGCCGCCCACCATCGCGATCCCGATGCTTCCACGCAAGTCACCATCGTGAACCTGCCCCAAAAGCACCACGCGCTCGTTGAGGGGCAAGACAGAGGGAATCCAGTGAAAGCCCGCCGGTGTGTGGGGAAGCAACGCCCCAGGAATGTACACAACCTCGCTACAGTTGAATGAGCATGGGACAATAACGTGGTGGTAGTCCTGTGTGCGCAAGTGCACAACGATGGCCACTCGTTTTTGTCCCTCCGCCACCGGAGACATGGAGCTATGAAAAAGTTGCCGGATGCTGTACGTCATCCCCTTCACCTGAACCAGCTGCTCCTCCAGAACGTCTTCCTGAACGGAGAGCACAACCCCGTCTGCGGGCAGCGTCACAGGGGCCGAGGCTAGCGGACGCGCCTCACTGCCCCACTCCCGCACAAAGAAGTCTTGAAGGGTGGCAAAGTCTCGCCGCTTCCCATCGGAGGTGTCGACGTTGTACCACCACACGACGGCCTTAATGAGCAGGCGGTGAGCGGACTCCGTGAAGTAGACGCTCTCACTAAGACGTCCAAACGCGTGCGACGCGTAATTGAAGGGGAGGAGCATCAGCAGCTCCAAGGTGCCAGCGGAGCAGAGACGATTGCCCCGGTCAGGATGCCGCAGCGCCTCCCACGCGGCGAGCTGGTACTGCCCCCACAGATAAACCCCTCCGCCGAGTGCAAGACCTCCGAGCAGGTAGTGGTACACCCAGCGCCGCATCGGGTTGGTGTAGCCCCGCGTCACGTCATTTTTGTAAAAATGCAGCCTCCGAGTGAGCGTCGCCATCGAAGGTTTCCTTCGCCACTGTAGTCGTCCGGCGTAGAAGGCCTATGCACGTGTGCGTGTGCGGCGCCTCTCCCAGTGGCAGTGAGCTTCGGATGCCTGTTTCAGCGGAGAAAGTGAAAGATGTATATGCAATGAGTTAGCCGACAAGTCGTGTGACACATTCAACATGGGCCGAGAACGAGAACCCAACGCCAAAACAACAACAACAACAACAACAGCAACAACAATAACAAGGAAGCCCTCAGAGCCAATGCACGCCCGCACAATAAGAGATAAACGCATGCGCCTTGCAACAGTGTTGTGAGGCCACACAACAACAACCAAAACAGGATAGTTAAAAAAATCAACAACAACAAAAGGTTTACGCCTGAATGGGGCCCTGCGCGTCCCCCTCCAATTCCTACGAGGCGAACGAATACAACGGTGGGAGGGGACAGCTTGTTTCAGTCTCCGCCCGACGTCCCTCGATTTGGCGGGGGGTTAGCAAGCAGAAGCACAACACGTAAACGGTTGCAAACGGGGCACGGCGATGGGAGCCAGTCTCGCGCCGCGAACGCACAAAGTGGCGGCGTGTGTGTGTAGAGGGAGGGCGCCCAACCGCCGGACGCCCCTCCGCGTGAATGGTGTTCGAAGTCGTGGGGGAGAAAGAAGAAGGAAAAGAAAAAGATCCATTGCGCCTCCCTCCAATGCGGCTTTCGCTGCAAAGAAGAACAAAGAAGCATGTAATCAGTCAACGCACAACGCAGTTAAC